CCCCACCAACCTGCCATGATAAACACATAGATCTCTAGCCATCGACAGCAGTAAATAAGGGAGGGTGGACGGGGCAACCTTCTTCCCTCTTTGACTGTCCAGAAAGAATTCCCAGATCCTACCCCTGCAGCTCCTCTCTACCACCTGACCTACGACTTCCAATCCAACAAGACCTAATACTTAATCTTTAACCTTTTCCAGGGGACTTTTCCTCCCCACAGTCATGTAACCCCCTCTATTTATTTCTCTGGGTCTACAAACAGAGTTTAAATTATTACCTAGTTTACTAACCCATTATCTAATACATAAAGCCAATGCGTGGGGATAAAAAAAAAAACATTAATTTAAATTAATTTATTTTATAATTGCGAGTAAAGTTATAATCTGCCTCATGGGCTGTGACAGTGTGTTGATCCTAAATATTGTTTATATTCTAGTCTGCAATTCTGCCATGATCTCATATGTATTCTGCAAGATGACATTTCAGAATGTATTATATTCACCATAACAACGCTAAATGTCAGTCACAAGTAAAATACAGGCTGCGTCGGTTAGAGATATATTGCCTACAGAGGTGTAATATTATAATAGTAATATAATAGTAGTTATAATATCATAATACAGGGTTATAGTCATATGCATGCTGCTAGATAATCATAAGGCAGTCAGAGGGGCTTGAAGAGGACCTTCCTGCTCTAACTTGCCGATGATAAGCTGGAAACAAAGAATAGGTAGCCATTGTTTTTTTTTAGTTGTGAACATTTTTGTTAAATTAAATCTGGACGTAGACAAATATGGGGGCTGTCACTGCTGATTTCCTAAGAATACTAGTTTCCTGGCTGCCTCTGGAATTCAACACTGACATGGAACAGGCATGAAGGTTAAACATTCAAGTGTCAAGAGTCAAGTGTCAGAGTCCTGATTAGCCTACTTGCCCCAGTTGAGTGCCCTGTCAAGTATTGAGCCAGGCGACTGTACTTTTGAAAGGAAAGGTTAGCAATGTCAGCCTCAACATCCAGGTTTCTTTTAAATCTTAAGGCAATCTCAAATCCTTAACACTGAAATAGAAGAGGGAACATACTTGCATATCTGGTGGAGTTGTCCTAGGCTACAACCATTCTGGGAGTCAGTGTGTGAAATATATCGGTGTGTGGAGGAAACAAATACTGAAAAGGATCCCCTAATTGCATTATTAACATTGATACCAGGTCCAATAAAAAAAATAAAAAATGATACTTTAAGATTTATGTTGGTAGCCGCTAAAATAAATATATCACAGGGCTGGAAACTAACAGTCCCACCCTCAATAAAAAACTGGGCAAATACTATAGAAGAAATAAGGTATATGGAAGAATTAAGTGCAAAGGATACAGATAGGATTGATAGTTATAAGAAGATATGGGAGAAATGGGAATTATTTAGACAATCGGAAGAATTTGAGAAAATGCTGAAAGAAGGATAAAGGCAGGAATTGAAAGAGGATCAAGGGGTAATGCATGTATGGACAAATAGGAATAAAGAAATATATGATTACAAAATTAATTAGACAAACCGAGTATATGACCTATATGAATGAAAGATGGAAAGGAATGAAGATGGCTCTATGGAGAGGATGGAATGGGAAGACGGGATTAAGAAGTGAGAACACGAGGTATATTTAGAAGAAGCAGAAGGGAAACGCAGTACACATAGGGGATAGGAAGCAGGTAATTAAATAATAGTTAGGATACACAATAAAAGTAGGATCACTATAAATAAGGAAAGTGGGGAGGAAGGAACAAGTTCTAAGTTTGTAATAAAAGGGTTAATAATTGATTATATATTGTTTGGTTATACACTAGAGAACACAAGAGGGAAATAATAATAAGAATAGAGGAATGTAGACACTATAAGGGGATACAGTGAGGTCTACATATATATTATGGGTTATAGAAGCCACAAACACTAGAGGGGTATTCTAAATGAAGTATAAGGGATGGGTACAACATATCTCAATTAGAGCTATAAATAATTAATAAAACTAAGAGATAATTTGAAACTAATGTTTATGAAAGTTTGTCTAAATGTACTTTTATGGAAACAAAATATTAAAAAATATATTAAACAAAAAAAAAATCCTTAACACTGCCATTATTTATGTCTGCTACCATGCCACCCAAGGAAGTTTGTGTGTTGAGGGAGTTAGGTATGATAAAGGATTTAATGCAGGGTGAATCCCTTGTCACTAAACCACTTCTCTCAAACTCACCCTATCTGTCCATTCTCCACCTTGAAGACAAATCTAAGCTCTGTTATACCACTGGCATTTCCTCTGACCCTACTCCAAATAAACCTGCTGAGCTCTGTGGCTCCTTCTTCTTTTCACAGTCATAAAGTGACCACAAAGACAACTGTAAGCAAATTGTGTCTATGGATTGAATTGACCTCTGCAGAGAGAAGTCATGATGCTCTGCAAGAATGTATGCAGTAGCTAGGAAGGGGGGCTACCTTCTTAAATAATGGAACTTACTACATGATATCTCAGACCCATTGACCCACTGTTATGTGTTAGTGTACTATGGCAAACACCGGTATATAACCTTTTGTTTCTTCTATTCCTCAGTTGGTTTCTGAACTCAAAAAACTTTGTTTTAGGGAATATTTAAATATTTTAACAGTGCCTATACATTTCACTGGAAATGTACCTTTGTCTAACATTTCTCTCAAAAATAGCAGGGTACTTCCTGACATGTGGGGTTACTCCTGTACCTATAACCTCATAGCTGTATATCTGCAGTGCGCTGCCTCTTCCTGCTTGCCTCATGGGATTTGGAAAGATATTTGGTGATGTCACTTCTGTGCTGCTCACTGTTATCCTTGCTGGGGGCTCTGACATGAGGAAGGAAAGCCCTGCTCCTACTAACATGGCTGCCTCCACACAGAGATGCCATACAGGATAATTTTGTGCTTGTACTGTGTAAAGCTCTTCCATGCGCACCTTACTTTAAAAGCTAGTTATAAATTGATGAGTGCGGTTGCCATTTGCTTCACTTCTGGTGTGTCCCTGTGCATTTACAGAGGAATGTGTCCATCGCTATATATGCCCCAAGAGGGAGGCTCTCGTAGATTAGAGTTAGGACCACACTACACAGAAAAGCCTTGACGAGGCAGTGTGGCTTCCACTTGTTTGTAAATGTTGTGCAACTAAAACCTGTTTTTACTGCAAGTTGTAAGACAATATAAGCTTTTTTTTTTTGCAGGTTAGCTGGTAAGTGTGCTGGGAACTTTTTGTGTTTGCCATGCAGAAAAAAGCATTTTACATCAGTAACGGGGAAGAATGAGCAGCAGGAAGACCACAGGCAGATTAGTTCTTTGCCCTATGCTTACTATTTTCGGCACATTTTCCACATTTTAGTTCCGGTTTAAGAAGCTCAAACATTACTAGCTCTCCGAATGCATTGTTCTCATTGTATGTATCTCTTATATAAATAAATTCCTCTCCAATCTCAACTTGTACTTTAGATACAAGATTCCTGGCAATGGAAGATTGAGCCTTCTTGACCAGTAACTAAAATCGCTTATAGTAGACAAAAAGATAAGACTGCATATCAGCCTGTGACTAGCCTATCATTTTCTTTAGGCCTGAAATCTTCCCTCTTAGCAGTGCAAAATGCTCAGTCTTAGCAGTGGCTCTGTCCTTATCCAGTCTGCCACTGACAGCAATCTTCTCTGAATAATAGGTGACTCTAATTCTGTAGGGCTGCATCCAAACCTTGACAGATCTGTGACCCATCTTACACAAATGCTTTTACTGCCGTAGGTAGCCTAGGATATGGCTAGCATTACAAGTTTTCCAGTGACATAGGAGGGGGAGCTTGCTCTGGGTATCATTGCCACTGCTCTTTATTTGAAAGGTCATTGGTAAGACAGGGGAAACTTGAGAGAAAAACTGGAATGTGTCTCTGTATAACTCTTTCTCTTCCCACCATCTACTTAGATGAAGCTAGAGCCATAAGAGGAGCAGTATGTACAGCCGTGGCTACAGAATGCCTTCCTGAGATTTATCTACAATGCTACCAATAGAACATGCGAACACTTCTCAGCACAATAGCACAAAAGTCTGAAAAAAGATAAGAAACACAGACAGGATATACAGCTATTTACTATTATATTGATCTCTGTGTCCTGCACTACAGCAGCATATTTGTCAGAATATTTGAATTGGATGTTAGAGAAACTCAAGGGAACAAGTGAAATCAATCAAAGAAGTGCTAATGCTAACCAGGAAGCAATGGAAAATAAATAATGTTTTGTTCCATGTATTCAAATGCAGACAAATTCAGAAAAGCTTCCACATAAGCTACCAGTAGGGACTGCAGCTTTACATTACATTATTCTGTGTGATGACCCCCTCTGACTGTGAGACGGTGCAGGCCAAATATCCTCAATCCTATTCACTGTACATGGTGCTAGATTCATGCTTTTGGCCTCATTCACACACAACGCAAGCAAAATTGTATATACGCGTCTATGCGCGTATATATGAGTGTCTATGCGCGTATATACAAGCGTATATGCGTGCACTATATGCAATCCCAGAATGCATCACTCGTAATGGGATTTTTAATGTGCTGCGTAAATACGCAGAAATACGCTGCCCGGACGCATCTCTGTTCCTTTCTGTTTTTGCGCATATATATAGGCTACGCAAATATACGGATCCATACACGGCTGTGTGTATGGAGCCATTTAATTGCATATGTTGCATATGGTACAATACTCACGTATGCGCGTATATGCGCGGCAGTGTGAATGAGGCCTAAAACTCCAGATTATTGGCAACAAGTTAAGCAGTGGCTGGCCTGGTGCACTTCAGCTGTGCCTACATGAAAGCCAGCAGCCTTTAAATGTGGTCTGTGTCCACTATATGCATTTCAAGGCTTATGGTTTAGTTCTGACTGGAGGTACACCTTTAAATCTGCAGAAAAATATTTAGTTAAATCTCATTTCAAGTGACTTACTGTCCAGCCTCCGCCATCAGTCGTCATGTCACAATAGACCTGAAATCCAGTAGGGTAGTGAATAGGGAACACTGAGTAAACGCCGTCCTCTTGGTGTCCACTCGTCAAGATGTCATAACAATCCCGCGGCTTGGAACCTACGAGTGAGAGAGTTAACGTTAGACTCGGTTAGGCAGAAAGTGAGTTCGTCTACAGATGAGCCTGACTCGACAAACGTTTAAATTAACTCATATAAAATTTCCCTTGAAAATGTTCACGCTAGGCGGATGACTTTGTTTGGAAGATTTATAGTCCTGTCAAAATGGCAGCACTGGGAGAAGCCTGTATTACATCCACAGGCAGTGCTGGGAGGGCTGAGAGTTAGGCAGTGCTTTCGTGAATGACTGGTGCTCATACTAAGAGCCTCAGAGTATTCTGCTCCTTAATTTAGTAGGCATTGTAATAATGCCAAGCCATCCAAGGCAGATTGCAGGTGTTAACAAGATCTTTACGCCACCAATGCAAATGTGAACATGCATAGTCTACCATGGCGAAAGGTAGGTGTAGCTAGATTGTGCTAACAGTAGGAGGGACTTAAAAGGGCAAGTTAAATAGAGCCTGAGTCTACCTACTTTATACACAATACACATATGCTGCAATCCTTGTATTCTCAAAATATAGGTAAGTGTTGTGTTGTTACTCTTTTTCAGGAGTCACATCCAGGGGCATAACTACAATTCATGGGGCACCGTAGCAAATCCTTGTCCCCCCCGATTAACTTCCTCTGAGTTTAGAGATCTGAAGTGTATAATATACAGACTGCAGGGGCCAGGAGTATGTTACATACAGCCCAGTGTCTCCATGTTTTGCCATACATTGCATACTCCTGACCACCGCACTCTGTGTACTGTGCACAGGGCAGCATTCAGGTGTATGTAAAGTACAGCCCTGCTTACAAAGTGCAGAGTTCAAGACTAATCCCCCAGAATTAATTCAGCAAACCTACAAGCAAATAATTAATCTCTGTCTCCTCCCCAGGCACAATCATTTCCCCTAAGCCCAGATTCCCAAAGCAAAAGTCCAGCATTCCCTAGCAAAAATTCCCCAAGCAATAATCAACCCTTTTTGCCAAGCACAAAAGTTCCCCCAAGCAGAAATCCCCCCCTGCAAAAAATGTCCCTCCAAAAATCTCTCCCTCCTTAAGCAAAATGCTACCCCTTTCCCCTAACCAAAGATCCCTCTCAGAAGAAAAATGCCCCACCCCTCAAACAAAACCCTGCCTCACTCTCCTTCCCCCACGCAAACATTACCCCTCAGCAAAGATGTTTCCCCTCTGAATCAAACCCCCCCTAGAAAAAATGTCAGCATAAATCCCAATGCCCTCCCAAACAACTCCCCCAAGCACAAATATCCCACTCCCTTGCAAAAATCCTCCGAGGACAAACTCTCCCTTCCCTCATTCTCCTCCTAAGCACTCACCAGTGTCCCCACCAGACCTCACCCGTCCTCCAAGGCTTCCACTCTGGTGTGCTATATGACATATCAGGGCAAAGAGCCAAGAGGGCTTTTCTGAGGTCTGACAGGGCACTTAACTGCTATAAAGAAATCCTTGCAGAGCCCTTGGTAACATGACTTGGGGCTGTGAAATGTAGGTGCTGCTGACATGGGGCACCAAGGAGGAGAACCAAGGCACATGCCTATGGTGCCTGGAATTAGCGGTGCCCATTTAGAAGTCAAATCCATCTTATTTTCAGTAGAACTCAAATAAAGAGAAAACACCCTTTAATTATGTTATGTAGTCATTAAGTTAGATAAATGGAACTTTTTTGGCCAAAACTTTATTTTTAGTTTTGTATAGAGTGGAGAAGGGTTAGTTGCTGGTTTGTTATATCTAACCCACTGTCTTATATTTTTTTTTTGGCTCAATAAAACACACTAGGTCTTGTTTTCGGGGTAGGTCTTATTTTTTTTTTAATGTATAACAATCCAAAGTTAATGCAAATCCAAATTAAATAATCCAAAATGGCAAAGTTAAGAATAGGGTGATCAGGGCAATACAGGTTGCCATAAGAGCAATTTAGTAACCAGAATGAGGGAAGCGCACTATCAAAATAGATTCCTCACAGGCGGAGTGCATTTGGTATCACTCCACCTGTAACAGGAGCCGGCGCTATAGAGGAAACATCGGCTCATGCTGCTCTGCTACCTCCGCTGCCGCCTTGCTTCCTCTAGCGCTGGCTTCGTTGGCACCGCTGATTCTCTCCCGCGGCTCTTCAAGTTCCTCCTTATGCCACCACCGGCCCTGTGAAAGGTCACAACTGGGTCTTATTTTCGGGGTAGGTCTTATATTTTAGCAATTCCCAAAAATGGTACTAGGTCTTAATTTCGGGGTAGGTCTTATTTTCGGGGAAACAGGGTATCTGTACTCCTGAACTTATATTATAGAAAGTTCATAAAGGAGCATCACATCATCTCTTGGCTACATAACAGTCTCAGCAGTTGTTTAGAAGTGTAATTTCTGGTGGCATTGAATCACCGCTGGAATCTTAGAGAGATTTATGAAGCATTTGATCCACCTTGCCGACAACCAAATGAAACTAAAATATCAGTTGGCCTTTAATTACACCACCCTTACACAGTGTAAAAATATTGTCAGTGTGAAAGTCTCTTCAAAACCAATAACAACATCCTAATCAGGGCCGACTTAATAAAGCAGCAGAAAGGGCATTTGCCAGAGGCCCACCGAGAAAGTTGCCCACTGACGGATATGTTGCTAAGAAGAAATGTTCGAAAATAACTCATATCTTAGCCCCCTGAAGGCCTAGGAACACAAGTTAAGCTTTATTGTAAAGAGGAGAATCTCTTCTTTCATGTTGATAATTCTAGGTCAACCTAGTCCAGAAAAACATAGAGCTTTACCCCTTCTGAAAGCATTAATCCTAGACAAAGCTACTTTCTGAGCCCTCTGCGAGTAATGATTATTTCTTCCCACAGTTCTAAATTCCCATATGCATTTAAATGATAATTTGTGCATTACATAAAATTTGATTTTGTGCTATTTAACACATGGTAAAACATGGCTCGCTGCCCAGAGGAAACGTGTGCCTTTTAAATGGTCACAATGCTGATAATATTTCTTTTGGTGCAATGAGGGGAAAGAGCCAAGCGTTTTTGACTCAGTGTTATATAAGGTTGGCAGAATGGTACTGACTCCAAACTGTCACCTGTTCCATTATCTGCATGGCTATGGGTGAATTGTGAGACCCCTCACTATTGTTCTAGTATGTTATTGGATCCACTAATCATTCCTCTCTGTTTTTGTTCATATTTTGTGTCCTTGGTTATTGTGTTGAGGTTAAGACTATTGTTCCCGTTTTAGCTTAACCTTTTGGATCCAGTTCCTTGGTTTGTCCAGTATTTCCTTTGGCCTCGTATCCTCTTACATGTATCCAGAACTGTGCTGTATGTCTGTCCTAGATCTTGTTCTTAAAAAAAAAAAAAAAAGGCACTGGGAAGAGTTTTCAATTGTTCTCTATGATGGACTCAACCTTGATCTGTGCCCCAAAACACAATAAAATACCCATTTAAAAAAATAACATATAAAAGATGAGGTTACAACAAGTAAATAGTTACCCAACATGCACAGGTTGAAAATTGCATGAAACGGGGACAAAATTCAGTACCCCAAAAAGTCCATAGACGATGCTTTAAAAGCCCCATGCAGGTCATCAGTTTAGAGATACGCATAAATATTGGCCCTAGAATTATTGCTCTCACTCTGCCGTCCGTGGTGATACCCAACATATGTAGGCGCACCTGACGCGTGTTTGCGTAAATCCATGCACGCTCGCAGGGGTGGGGGACTTTAAAAGAAAAATGTACATTATTTTTACATGTATTTCATTCTATATTTTTTTAAACAGGTTTATTTTTAAACTTTACTTTGAATGCTGTCCCATAGGGGGGCTTACAAGCCCCCCATATGATAGCATATTGGTAGTGACAGGTCCTATTTAAGTTGATACTGGGGGTCCAAAAGACGTCTAGTATCACCTTTCCACTTGACCAAAAAAAAAGGTTGAGAAACACTGATCTAGTAGAGGTGACTATAAATGTGACAACATAAGAGGCAAACATACTAATTATGTTGTTGTCTCCATAGAATATGAATAAGACATAATAAAAGACAAGTGTTTAATTATTGTTGTCACCACAGAATATTATTAAGACATAATACAAAATGACAAGTGTAGTGATGAATAATTATTGTTGCGCCATAGACTATATTAGCACCGTACATACTATATTTATAAAATAGTTAAAATAAATCAAAAGAGATAGATATCTAATGACCCATGGTTTACCTTTACAAGCTATCAATTGATACATTATGTAGTGTTTCCAGCAATCACTCATCTTTTATAGCAGTTTTAGTCATTACCAGACATTTCAAACTTACACAAAAAAATTGTTTGAAATGCATCTCTTTATTTTATACTGTTTCTACATACGTGCAGTACTATATTTCCTTTTACTTTTTTTAACTGTATATATGAATTCTTTGATATATATTTTTAACTGTTGTATACATTTAGTATGTATGGTGCTAATGTAGCAGTAACATTAATATAGCATTAACATTCTATGGTGACAGCAATAACAAAGTATTTATATTTCAAGGTGACAACAACAATTATTAATCAGTACGCTTGTTTTTTTTAATCATGTCATATTATTTATAGCAACATATACTAGATTATATATTGGGATGGAACTAACAAGATTTATGTTGTGTTCCCACTCATTAGTTCCAGTTGTGATTTTGTTGCACCTCTGGGTTTGTCTTATAGCACCGAAGAAGGGGGTTGTGCCTTCCCCTGAAATGCATTAAGTGTTTTATCAATATGATTATTCAAAATTCTGACACCAATACTGTATTTGATCAGTTTTGGGGCTCTTCTTTTTCAAAGCGCTGCGCAAACTGTTGCCGCTACATAAATCCTGTATAATAATAATATCTTGATCTGGTCCAGGTCCTCTGGCAGCCTGTGACAGCAGGACAAGAAATAAGTTAAAGGTTTGACACTGCCAGAGGAAGACTCAAGACTGTCATAATAACAACGTGACAGTGGTTCTAATCCTTCCCCTATTTTACTCA